AGAAAGCGACAAAACGTTTGAGTCTGTAAAAAATGTTCAAAGCGTTGAAAGTTGAATTCTATAGTAAGTAGAACAATGCTTAGTAAGATGAATAGTGACAACATGAAAAGAGGTAAAGCATGAAAGTGTGAGAATTAAAAAGATATATTTAGATTTACATGGTGTAATTGCTGATTCAAAGATGGTTGTTCTCTTTGAATATGAATAGCCTCTTTTATCTTAAGCTGAAAGCTGGTGGAGGCGTGATCTAAAACATGGAAGTTATCTGTAGAACACAAAGCGCGACGACGTGGAGAATCTTTCAGATGCCTGAGAATGTGTGAGGCCCTGTCACTGACTTAGTGCTCTCTAACACGTGTGGAAAAATGCAGGCAGAGGTTTCACCGACGTAACAGGCATTATAGCCAGTCCATACAAACTTATAAACTACAGGTGAACGGAGCCCGTCAGGGACAGGGTCTTTCACACCAAACAAGTTACCGATTTTGGAGGAAGAGAAAAGCAGTTTGATATCCAAGTCATTGCAATAGCGCTTAATAAAATGGCGGATCTTTTTTTGAGTGATAGCAGAGAAGTGGCCTATGTAGGGTAGCTTAAAGTAGAACGTAGGTGAAGTGGTAGAAAGGGAATCCCGGGGATGATGATTGTTTTGGGTCCCAGTGATGTAACGGTTTATAATCTTCTCGATTAAATGAGCAGGGAAAAGATTCTTTTTTAGAATATCAGTAAGTTTGTTAATGTCCTCGTGAAACCCTAACCGGGTGTTATTAATCTTGTAGGCCCTATCAACGAGTGTCTTAATGAGACCTACTTTGTAAGAGTACGAGCTGAAGCTGAAATAATTAGTTAGTAACCCAGTGAAAGTTTTCTTGCGGTAAATCCCAGTTAGAGAGGAATTGGGCTAATGGTTGTCAACCAGGACATCTAAAAAGGGTAATTTGTAATTAATCTGCTTTTCCATAGTGAACTTGATGTTAGGGTGCCTAGAGTTGATATAGTCCAAAAATACAGTGGCATCTCGATCTGGGTTAAATAAGCAAAAAGTATCATCAACATACTGGCGATAAAATAAAATTGTAGAGCCATGAAGATTTTCCAACCAAAGTTTTTCGTGATGTCCCATAAAAAGATTGACTAAGACAGGGGCAATGGGGGACCCCATGGCTACGCCATCTATTTGATCATAAAAAGAACCATTAAATATGAAATGAGTCTGGGCGGTAACTCCAATGAAGAGACTTCTAAGTTCAGATTTGTTCAACTTAATGTCGGGATTACCGTCGGAAATGTAATTGACCGCTAAGTCAATACACTCCTCAAGAGGTATGTTAGTAAAGAGACTTTCAACATCAAAAGAGACCATAAACTTACGAGATATAGATAACGATTAGATGTCCTGTACAAAAGTAAAAGTGTCAGTGGCACAGTAATCAGTTGGAATGTGAGATGAGATGCCAGGTTGTAATTGTATGTTCCTAAAGAAGATACGATGGAGCGAAATGGCGGTGTAGAGTTAGCTTCACGATTCTTATGCATTTTTGGGAGGGCCGTAAATTCTTGCTGGAAGAGGGGGAGTGGTGTAGAGAGGCGAAGACCAAATTTTTATTTGAGAGTGTTTTAGGACAGAATATTAACACATTACGAGGGTTGTCTCGTTATGAGCTGAAATCGAAAACACGGGTAGATGCTCAGCTAGAGAGCGTGAAGGTTACAACTTTTTTTTAAACAATTACAGCTCTCGAAAAGTCAGGCATTGATATCCCAAGAACCCATCTTTAATTCTGAGCCGCTTACAGAATAAAACTTAAGACGATTCACGTGAGGTTCTCAGCGCACAAAAATGTTTCCATGTGGGTTTTGCACGTTTCTCAACTGGTTTGGTCGATTTTTACCACAAGGATCATGAGTTGGTGAGTTAATTCTTGTGTCCCCGTCAAAGTAGTAATAAGTACTTCCAGCAGTGAGGAGAGGTCTGCGACTGGGAAGACTCATAAATTTTGGTACCGTTCCAGTGCACTGATTAGAAACCTGCTTCACCAGTTTACAAGAAAGTGACCCCTTCTTGTGTTGCACTATGCTACCAGAACCTTCCTTGCATGCAATCCAGTTGTCGATGTTGCTCTTGATCAGGAATTCCTTGCCAATGCTGCGCCACAAAGAAAAGTCCATGGCCTCATACTGCGTCTCGCTCAGTGGAACTGTTTTAGACACTCGAACGTTAGCGCCGCTAGCTGACCAAGATGGGCGCGGAGTGACAGCGTTTCGGCCGGTCCAGAAGCTTGAGTAGGTAGTGAAAGTGTAACTGTAAACTAGCGTCCAACCCCCTCCGTCTGTTTGCTGGTCGCAGTAGACCTGGAAAGCGTTACTACGGGAACCGCCATCAGGATCTATCCAATAGACGCCTGACACGGCGTAAGGGGACTTCTCATTGAGCACCTTACAGTTCAGCACTGCTAAGTCTTTGGACAATCCTATGAAGTCTATAAAAACAAGACAGAAATGTAGCCAGAGGGCATTCCTGTCAAATTTGCTCATAAATGATTTTCTGACTGTATATATATCACTGAACGCTGGTTAATTTCGGGCGAAAGAATAAAATTAAGGGTATCTAATCCCCTATTTTTCTCAGAAGTATAACTCCAGCCCAATTATTTTGTTGGATCACAGATTGGTGCTGGGTCTATTGCAATTCAAGACTTAGTTATATAAAAATATTATACATAAATATAAATCTCCAAATCAATTAATCGACAAAGTAGAAACTCTAAAAGAAAAATAAAAAGTATTTTTCGGTTCTAAAGATTTCTTGAGTAGGATGTATGCATGGGCAGCCAAAACTCTAAGGTAAACTTAAAAATTCATCCAGTGATGTAAAAGTTAATAATACCCTGAGGTCGAGAAGAAAACGAAATAAAAGATCATCAAATGAAACAACATCATTCCAGTGTAAAGATCCTGAATTGATCGATGGCTAAAATGGAATTTTCTGTCGATCCTTTTGTCGAGATCCAAGTTGCAATACTACCGGCCGATAAATATGCTTTTAAATGTTTAAAGTCTTCAAAGAAACAGGGTAAAACTCGTGGTAATTTATTTTTAAACTCAATCATCCATGTCATCTAATTAATAAAGGTTTTGTAACAGTATTGATGTTTTGACAGCTGATGAGACTATTTGCCCTGAGGAGTTTATAAGGAAAACGCACGATTTTGCATTCATGATGACTATCAATAACAATAACCCATTTTTTTTTTTACAATTTACTCAGAAGAAATAGTTGATGAGGCAAGCAATAAACTAGTTTGTACTTTAAGATAACCTTGTGCAGCCTTCTTTTTATAATTTTAGATGTAATCAAGCCAAGTGCATTAGATGTTTTAATCAAACATAATATTATACCCATAAAAACGTATTTACATTCCACTGACCGATTCTTGTTCATCAAAGAAAAGTTGTGAGTTCCTACCTCGATACAAAAAGAAGGGGCATTTGTAAATAACGTTATTTTCTGGTTGAAAGAAAATCTCAAAAGCACTTAAAATTTTAAGTGCAAATACCTCTTTGCGGCGTTAATTTGTTATATATTTTACACAGTCATTTATGAGTTAGTTCGTGCATGAAATGAACATGTTCGCGAATTCGGTAGTCGTATGTAAATTTACGACCAAGTCAACTTAATTTTGCGTTTTAATGTACTGAAAAATTAAAGCGTATGTGAAATTATTTCGAAAAACAGTCGACAGAAAGTAATCATGAAAATAAAACATCAAAAGATGTCGTGCCATTACCAAGTTGCGTCCACCCTAAGAGAACGTGCGTGGTGTCGATGATAAATCGTGTCCAAAAAAATTGTGGTTTAAGTTTTGATTTCGTTCTTGAAGTGGAAAAAAAGGAATTGTTGGTGGGCCGCTAAAAAGGACACGCGACTACAGGCTGTTGATCATGGTTTGTAGGGAAAGAAACGCCGTTTAAAAGTTTTAAACATATAGCGTCATTCACATTTAAGAGCTAATGTCAGCATGCATCAAACAAACAGCGGCAAGTCACCCAAATTTTTTTTCCCTCCTACTTTTATATTTTGTAGCCCAATATGTTCTAATAATTATGGTGTGGTTTTTTTGTAAAAATATATTTTAGTTTTCGAGAAATAATTTTTTTCGTTCGACCGCTCAAATATGCAAATTTTCACCGTGAATATTACCCGAGTTGTGTGACCTCATGTATCGAATGTACCGGACCTTCGGTATTTCTGTGAACATAATCCTTTGTTTTATCATCTAAACTTAATCCCCTGTCGTTATTGAAGCTGCCAAAGAAATATTTACTTTTTGGTGAATATTTTTGTGCGACATACTTTTCCTATGTCGAAAAGTAGCATCAAAACAAAGACAGTTTTAACAATGACCGATATGACACAATCTACTGAGCTTCAAGCTTTCATAAGACAAAAGGTCGGTTACAAAGTTACTGTAAAAATTTCCTTGTGTATTTGTGTTGTTCTATCTTAAGACGAACTCAAAGTCCGGCAAAATCTACTTGATAGCGACTGTGAAATGTACATGGTGCGCCTTCTTGTCGCCACCGTTAACTGGCATAAGGGCCTCTTCATATGAGCCCGGTTGACCGGGCTAGCCCGGTTACCGAGATCTCGCCTCACTCCTATTTCCTTTGTAAAAATTTCGATGTGTTCATATGAGAAGGCGGGCCAGCCCGGTTACCGAGATCTCGGTTGTAGAAACCGAGATCTCGGTTGTAGAACCCGAGATCTCGGTTGTAGAAACCGAGATCTCGGTAACCGGGATGAAATATTTTCCCATATGAACACTCCAGCCCGGTTACCGGGATGAAAATTTTTCAACTACGCATGCCTTGTAAGGACGCTGACTAAACGGAACGCAGCTCACGCGACCTACAACGCGTGCAAACATGGCGGATGGCGAAGTGTCTTCCACCTTGACTTCGAAGAGATTCCGTTGGGAAACAGACACGGTAAGGCAGTTGATCGACTGTTTACTTGAATACAAATCAAAAATGGCCTATAGAAACCTTGATTTCGACGCCGATAAACAAATTCAGTACCAAGAACTGCGAGTGGACATGACGAAGCTTCATGAGGACGATGAATCTATATTTGGTCCTGTGGCTGCTTTCAAGTTACCGGATGATTTCAAAACCCGTTCAAAGGAAGAGCAGGCCAAAGCAAAGCATCGTGTAAAAGAGTCAAAAGATATGATAACGAAAGGACAGAAGAGAGTGATGGAAAAGGTGAAGGAAATCAGACAGAGTTTCTCTAAAGCTGTAGTTTCTGGAAGTAGGAGTGGCAGTGGAAAACTTGTTTACGAATTTTACGACAAACTGATAACATTGTGGGGTGGTTCTGCCGGAACAGAGCCCCTTTCTTATGGTGTAGGAGGAGATGATTTTCTGGAAGACAATAAAGTTGTCCAATGTCACAATCCAGAAGATGACAGCTTAAGTTTGGATTTGGAAACTGCAGGTACTTCAGCTGGTTCAAGTGATCTAGGCCCTGGAGATGATGGGGGTAGTGCAAGTGGCGATGTGGCACCTGGTAACAAACGCAAAGCTAACTGTGTACCAAAGCTAATCGACAACAAAAGAATGCATTTGGAAAAAAAGCTTTCTGCTGCCCAGAGGGATGGGTTGCTTATTAAAGAAGCTAAGGAAGATGCCCAATTTCGAAAGGACCTTGCTGAGGCAATGCGGGAGTCTACAGCAAGTTTTTCTCATAGTATTGAAAGTGTTAGTAAAGCTATGACTGATCTAGGTGCAGGAGTTTGTCGACCAATCGAGATGCTATCACAAGCATTGCAACAACCTTATGCAGTACGTGCACCTGTAAATCAGAATTTGTTCTATCAAAACCCAATGCAAGTTGCACCTCAGGCTGCTGAGGGTGTTTATGCCCAGCTGTTTAGCCAACATGGTAGCCAGCAAGATCCAGGAAGCAGTGGAAGCTTTTATTATCAACCATAGAGTTATGACATTATGACATTGTCTAATAGATCTATATTGTATATAGATATACAAACACAACTTGATGCTATGGAAATAACTGACAGAGTTTTCTATTCTATGGGCAAATAAGTTGACCTGCCAATTTCCATTTTTCTGCCAACATTTGCATTTTGTTGATATTTAATTCAATTTTAATACTCAGAGAAGGCCCTGCCTTGTTTTGATTTAATCTGTTATCAGTGGGGAATTTTTGATAATTATTTTTAAAAGTATTTTTTATTCATTGTTTTTCAAATGTAAACAGCCTTGTTTGGCATAATTTGGCCCACAGAAAATGTTTCAAACAGCATTCTAGTGTATCCAACAAAATTTCAGACTTCCTCAGTACGTGTTGTTGTTAAAGTTTTCATACTGAGTTTGACAAATTCAGGCCATAATCCACAGTTGGATTGCTCACTATAGTATTCATAGTTGCCTGATTGCACAAATCTGAGGATGTTTCAGAAAAGGATTTCTTATTACATCTCTACTTGGTTATTTTCCCAACTATATTTTTTCTACTGGTACTGAGTGCTGTTTAAGACAAACATTTTAAGTTAAAATTTTTCTTTGTAATTAACTGAAACCAATACACTAGTTCAAAAAATGGAAATTTATAGTTACAATTAAATTTGAAAAGTGCCACCTACAGTACCTACACTGTAATATGAATCGGTTTTGGCCGATCATATAGGGGCTGGTCAATGAACACTACCAACATTCAAGTGGCCTTAGTTTGTGTTCAAGAATATCAAGTTGTTGTTATATGCTAGGATCTTTCATGTCTTGACAATGTTCAGCTAGCAAATTAAGGGGAGACCTTTAACTACAAAATGGTAGCTATGGATGACTTCTAACCATCATATCTTGGGCTCCCTTAGTATCCTTGCTTTAGTTTTTGGCCATATTTGTTCTGTTAGAGGTTGCCTTCAGTTTTGGTAGTCATGACCATATTTGGCAAGTCACATGACCAGAACACAAAAACCGTATAAACTCACACAGCTTACATCCTTCTCCAATGGAACAAAAGCCAACAGGTAGAGTGCATTCAAATGCAAAATTTGTAGAATGGATTTGTTAAAATTCGCATTACTGAAAAAGCTATGACGTCATGAAGTTTTTGTGATGTCATAGCTTCTTCAATAACATACATTTTAACAAATCCATTCTACAAATTTTGCACCTGAATGCACTTTACCCGTTGGCTTTTGTTTCATTGGGGAAAGATGTAAGCTGTGTGAGTTTATACGGTTTTTGTGTTATGGTTATGTGACTTACCAAATATGATCATGACTACTGAAAGTGAAGGCGACCTCCAATAGAACAAATATGGCCAAAAACTAAATCAAGGATACTAAGGGAGCTCAAGATATGACAGTTAGAAGTCATCCATAGCATGCATTTTGTATTTAAGGGTCTCCCCCCTTAAGTTAATTAAACTAAGTACAACAATACATGTAAATAGGGTAAAGTTTAAGTACTACGTTAAAGATTCTTCAGTACTAATTGTGTGAGTGTTG